TTGTTACGCGGGTAAGCGTCCTCTAATAATAAAAACAAAAACGGCTGCCACCAGAGTTTGACCGGACTCCACACAAAGAAGTTGACTGATTCTGTTCACTTTGGATTTCAGCATTCCCCTGATTTATCCTTGGAAAGAAATAATGTATAATAATAAGGTTATTATGGGAATACCTCAAAGTATGCACTAAGACAGTACGCCGCGCTGTACTGTACTGTCTTCGTGCATACTTTGAGATATTCTCGTAATAATCTCTGAATAATTTTGATAATATTGATACTTAATATTTGAAGGTATGTTAAAAAACATTAAAAAAACATATGAACATAACAGACTGTGTCTAAGTCTATACATACCCAGCCATCGGGGCATGGTGGGTGGTTAGTTGCTGAAGTCAATACATTGACGTCTATTGGGCGGAACGACTATGTTCCGACACAACAAGACCTTATTCTTGCTCAAAATAATAGGAATATTAGAATTGAAACAGTTTGGTAATGTAGTGCAAGTATATATCACTAAATTTAATCATACACGCTCCGATTCCTCCTCCCCCAATTACTAATACAAGACCGATTAGCCTGCACTATACTAATCAATCACAAGGGTGGAAACAAAATGGTCACATATTTTTTTCAGCTGCCGAAAATTATACCTCAAAATACAATATATCCCTGTTATGAGTGCTGTTAAGACACTGGCTATTGGAATATGTCAACCGAATACATATAAATCATATATTTTTCCAAATTCACACAAATTTATCACAAAATATGACCATTTACATTCATTGTGATACCAGATACGACAGTTTATGTCAATCTGCGCATACGACGAGCGCCCTCAAGTTGACAAAATATGTGTCCTGCCACTTGAGGGCACCCTATGCTTTTTCCTTCTTGATATCAAAGAACAAATTTATATACAAGGTAATATGGAAACTGAGTAACAAACAAAAAGCTCGACCCCTCGTCGATATTTGCACTCCATATGGCCTTGCACTTCGTATGTGTTGACACGATGCTCGTTTAACTAATTATGTCCCTTAAAACTATCCAGAAAAACACATCACGGATGAAATTGAACCAGCCAAAAGTATATCTAGATACACTTCAATTCAGAATAAAACTAAAAGATGTAATTCATGCATTCCACTCGTTTCTACAAATAACCCGTGGCATCCGAACATAACACATTTAACTATCCGTCAGTCCGCAGTAAGTTTAGGTACAACTCCCTCACTCGCCACACGTTTTTTTGTTGTTGTTGTTGATCACCTTGTTGTAACGGATGTAGACACCCCATAAATACCCCGACATCTTCAGCAATATTACTAATGAAACCAATCACATTTCATGCAAAAAACGTTATATATTCAGTAACGTGTAAACAATGTAGAAAACTGTATGTGAGATAATCCAACACATAAAAGAACTTCACACTAGTTTCAACGACCACCTGTCCAGTGTTAGATACAAAGCAGCTTCACTAATAACAACCCGACATTACGGAAGAGTCAAAGTAGCTATTTTGCGCATTTTTTGTTTTA